CAGGAAGCAGTAACAGTTGCAGAATACTTACTTGATCATTGTCTGTAGGTCCGGACAAGTTCTTTGAAACAGTCACCTCAGCATTTTCTTCAGCTTAATAAATAAACGAGGAAATGAGAAACAGCTGGCATGGTTCTTAATTTCTTATAACATATAGCAGAAGAATCACCTTGTAAATTCAATTCAAGTTTACTCTGATGTGTGTGCTTCATTTCAAACATAACCCTAAAGAATATGTAAATTAAAGCATTCACTCTTCCTTATAAAAAGAAATATTAGCATTTGGGTCCGTCAGTGCACGAATCCTCCCCCTTATATTATTCAGGGTCTACAGAGAAAAGCAGAAAAGCATACCATTCAATCAATGCATAGGGAGAGAGTCTCCATACCAGATGATTGCATAATACTATCACTCTCGTGGAGATGCACATTGTTATCTTCTAATTGACTAGTTCCATTTTCAGAGGATACCCACTTGCGCAACATGAAGCATGGTTGCACTGCAATGGAGTCCACTGCAATATCTGAAACAAATGCTCCCTCAATTTCAATGCAGGGTAAACAAGTAGCAAAATAAAAGCTTTTCCATTGTGAAGAAGAATGAGAACAATTTTGCAGCCCAATGAGAATGACAAAATCACAGATTATTTTAGGGATTGTTGTAAGAGAGTTGGTAAACGGGAACTAGTACGATTCAGCAGTTACAAACATGCATGTCCTTTAAAATTAGCAGTCTTCACCATCATATTGGGTTATCTTCACTGTTGTAGCAGCTGAATGGAGTTTCATGTCCAATAAGGAACTACTGATGCGTAAGCCACCCATAGAGTGTCGAGCACTTGCTAAATCCAGCCATCCCTGTGATATTTTTAAGAGAGAGAAAGCATGATACGTCAACCGACAACCAAAAAAAGGACGTTATAAAATTTCTTAGTTGGCAACTTGAAAGGGTAAATGGAGATTCTATAGCTTTTCTAGGAGCGAGGGATGAAGAATTTATGTGATAAAACAATCAGAACTAAACAATCGACATTCCGTTATCATGTTACGATTGCCTAATCCTTTTAATATTTCCGTTCCTTGTCATCAGAGAGGATAAAATTTTTCAGATAATTTAATTCATTGTATATTATAAAACCAATTGACAGGTAACAAGTGGAGGAGAAAGAGGAGGGGAATGTTTATCAGAACCTTTCTACACAATTATACTGGTATCAAGGTTGCAGAACGTCTGTTCTGTCAGCCAACTTTTAAATCAGAATGAGCTTAATCAGCTCAAGAACTTTCACACTTGTTTGGAATTAAAGATTGCGACTTTGTCTTTGAGGCATGAACTCGACGAAAGATATTTATACAAGCTTTTCATCTTATTTGCAAAAAGCAACAGTTTGTGACTAGTTGCATGAATAATTTGATGCGTTCTGGGATTAATGCTTTTGCTTTCAAGTGCATACAAGAAACCATAGTTTAAATTACATTTTGTCGATTAACTGGTTGATGTACGGACGCTCCCACATTGTTTTTTGTTGTTATGGACTTATAGACCCACTTATCAAAGCCAGATACCTCTATGGAAGGGATTTACCCTAAAACAACCTAAAATCTTTTTCCTCTCTATCAGGAGCAACCTAATGAACAGAAACATCCTCATGCTCCCATCGTCTTAAAATAATGAATAACGTACTAATTCAGAGAACACCGAAACATTTAAAAGTCATAATTGAGGCATAAGAAGCTGTAACATGGTTGTGGCTGAGTGGTAAGAATCGATGTCTCTACCTGACGAAGTGTCGAAGACAATGCATCAAAGAGGGCAAGGTAGTTATGCATAGAATCCATGAATTGCAAGACAAGTTTCTCTTCCACTCCAGGCTGGAGTCGTGGTCGTCGCAGTTGCAGCTGTTGTGATTGTGCTCTATCTACTTCCGGCAGCTGCTTTCCTGTTTCTTTCTGAATCCGATCTTCTTCTTCCATGAGACTTCACCGGAAGTTTCTGATTGGGGCAGCTCGGATCTCTCAACAGCAGCTCTGTGCGACTGGAAAACCGGCTGGAATCCCCACAATTTCTATGCTTATCAGCTTCAGTGTGTTTGCATAAGAGAAAAAATCGATTTTCCCCCTCCAAAATCGATTTCTTCAGCAAATTACCCAACCAGTCAAAAAAGGACAAAAATCGCTTCTGACGTATTACGCGCGTTTTCCCGTAAACTGATGGAATAGCTTTTGCCAGAAGTTTATCAAAAAACGTTGGAGAAAATTACAAAAGAAAGCCCACGAAAAAATTACAAATAAAGCACATAATTTAATAAAAATAAAATTAAACTCTCATCTCTTCTCTTTTTTTCCCCCTTAATAAAATTCAAATTTTATCCTCAAAAAATTAATGTTTGATATTTAAGAATTAAATTATATAATAATTTATATAGTTAAAATTAATTCTGATTAAATTATTCAAATATTTTTAATTATGTTAAAATTAATTTTAGAAAAACAGTATTCAAATAGATTACATTATAACATAATTAATTATGATTAAAATATATCACTTAATTAATTATTTTCATAATCTATTATACTCAATTGAAATTCAAACGGACATTTAGGTTTGTATCAAAATTGGCAATGCACTCGGAGAGGAGAGCTTCGAACTTGGATTTGAACTTTGACTTTGGTGTTGCTAGTTTTTCAGGAAGTAAAAAAAAAAAAAGTTCTTTTCACTAACATCCCTAGTTGTTCTTTAAAATTTTAGAATTTGTGGTTTTTAAAGTCTCTCTGAAAATTATTTTAAATTATAACATCACTTGAATTTGACTTAATAAGTTTAAATATTAAACAATTTTTGTGTGTGTGTGTGTGTGTAAAGTTTTTTTTTAGGTTAAGGTATATTTTTTATTGTAAATTATTTTTGAGGAGTGTCCTAAATTATTTGTCATATTAATTTTGCCTTTAAAGCAATTAAAATATAAATATATTTTGTCCCTGATGTTAAATACCCCAACCTTAATCATTAAAAATGTTGATTGGGACTTAAGTTAGATAAAAAATGACACTTGTCATGCTAGTATATTTGAGTTAAGATACAATTTTACTTATAAATTATTCTTCAAGAATGACCTAATATCTTAAACTATTTGTATTGTAGCAATTTTAGCCCTTAAAATAATTAAAACGTGACACATTTATGAACATTAGACATTAAGAAATAACTTAATCAAATTCCTTTTCTACCCTTCTTTCAATCTAATTAAAATAAAAATAAATTTGGCTCATCTAAATTAATAATTTTAAGTCAGGGAGGGAGGATAACATTTTTTTCTATAAGAAAAACTATGAAGTACTAGTAGGAGAATGGGTAGGTGGGGCTAACTGTCAATAAAATGCAATTTTAGTTCTTAAAATAATTAAACGTAACATATTTTTGAACATTAAAAAATAAATTAGACAAATTTCTTTTTTGACCTTCTTTTAGTTTACTAAAAATAAAAATAAATTTGGCTCATCCGAACTAACAATTTTAAGGTGGGGAGGGAGGATAATATTTTTATATGAAAGAAAAGCTGTAAACTAATAGTGGGAGAATGGATAAGTGTGGCTAGGTGTGAATAGAATGTATAAAAAGGCAATAATTAAATACAATGAGAATGGCTAGTTAAGAGAAAGATCTCACCCAATAATGCACTCTCACTTCATTTCTATCTTATCTCTCTACAATTTATCATTAAAGCCTGCATGACCTTTTCTTTTCAAACATTCACAATTAAAAGTAGTATTTTAATAAAAATAAAGAAGAAAGGCATAAAATGAATTTGTTTGAATTATCTAACGATGTTAGAAAAAATGCTATGTTTTGATTTTGTTTTTTTGATAAAATTATTATGATGCAAATAGTTTAAGTCAATTGAATGTTTCTCAGAAAATAGTTTAGGAAAAAAATTTACCTTAATTTAAATTTATCTAACATGATGGGTGGACATTTTCAGTTAGACTTAGGTCCTAGTCAGCATTTTTAATGGTTAACATATATTTAATATTGGGGACAAATATGTTATATTTTAATTATTTTAAAAGTAAAATTATTACCATTAATAATTTAGAACATCGGGTGCTTCTCAAAAAAAAATTAAGCATAAAATATATTTTAATCCTTGTTTTTCCGAGAAGAAAAAGGTGCTCAAATATCATTTTCCCAATTTCTGAGGGTGGGCATTATCTCGGCATGGCTATTTTTCAAATTATGGCTCCATATCCTCCTAATCAACATGACAAGTCATGGGTCCATTATCCACATCATTCATTCTTTTAGATCTCTTAATTCATGTTAACCACGAAGGGAATGAGATTTTGCTTTTGCGGCCAATCCATTGAGGAATTAACCAACAAAGGTTAATTCAATTAATTAAATTTAATTTATATTCTATATGTTGTCTCAAATCTCATTGTCAATGTAAATATTTTATTGATAATACATTTTGTAAGCACTTCCTTAAGCATTTTTTAAATTTAAAAACATGTTCTAATCTTGATGAATCTGAAGACTCAATTTATTTAAATTTTTATCCAAACAAAAAGCAAAACAGATTGAGGGATTAAAATTAAACTTTTGAAACCGTAAGAATCAACTTTGCAACAATAAATACCATGAGGAGGGGCATACAAATTTTTTTTTTTTTTTATCCAAGTGTCTGCTTTACAATTGAAATAAATTATAGAAAGTAGAAACCGTAGACGTAGGTTGAATTTTATTAATTACGAAAATCCACATTTGTGTCATAAATACGTGTTAGGCCACCATGAAGCTGTTCCCATTGGTAAATAGCCAAATGATCATGGTCAATGGGTCATGGAAATCCACATTTAAAATCTTTTTTTTCTTTTGGCCTTCTGATTATGGTTTTAAAATCTCGTTGAAAAGACATGTTTTCTCTGTTCATGGGAAAAATCACAATTAATCTGATTTATTTCTTTTCATATCTAGGCAAATATAATTAAAGATCGCAAAATTTTGTTCAACCAAATTCATACTCATTTTCATTCGCGTGTCCAATCATTCCAGCAATTCCGGGGGCCTAGTAATACAACAAATAGCTTTGCATTGTTAATCTGCTAGCTTCACTTCAAAACAAAACGATTCCTTTTTCTAATTCAGTAATATGCTTTCACGGGCTAGCTAGCATCCAGTAAGCAAGCAATCTCTGACCATGAAAACCTAACAAGAGCAAACTATTGCAGGAAGACATAAAGAATAATTAAGTTGCTTGGTGACTCTCAAACAAAATAACCCATTTTTGTTTGTTAGCAAGTGATGGGCCAGATTAAGTTTTGTTTGTTTGCTTGCTTATGATTATGATCCCTCCTTTTAATTTTCAAGTAAACCCATCTCGTGAACCTCTCTACAGTCTGGCTTCACATGACACACCTAAAACAAAGAGAACTTTTGATGCTAAACTAAACTAAGGCAAAATGTTCCAACACAACACTAAGAATTCTCTATAAATTAACATTCAGACATGAGAACATTATCAGCTAGACCTAGCTAATTCACTGCTTCTGAGTTCTACCTGGTTAAGGAAAGTATGGGTCAGGCTAGTGGCAAAGCTTTGGTGAAGTGGCTGGTAGCAGCACTGCTCATTGCCTTGTTGGGTGGTGCCCAAGCTGTTGTGATATGTAACGTTGAAACATCTAGGCTGAACTTGTGCCGTGCAGCGATTACTGGGAGATACCCGCCACCGCCAACGAAGAGATGTTGTGCAATCATTAAGCAAGCCAATCTGCCTTGTCTTTGCAGTTACAAGTCTCTATTACCTGCAGCTGGGATCAACCCAAAAAATGCATTGGCCTTGCCCGCTAAATGTGGTCTGAAAACACCTCGTCGATGCTGAGGTATTCATCTCAACTTTGAATGAGTATTGATATATGAACAACTTTGGACTTGTATTTCAAGATTTGTTTTGGATTGGACACTTTAATAACTCATTATTCTTTCTTGTTGTAGCAAAGTGTAACAGTTCTTGAAGACCATAGACCATATCCCATTGCAGGCATACTCTTGGTTTGCTTTCATGTGATTCATTGACTTGGGAAAGGCTTTTGATTTAGCATTTTCTGCCTCTGAAATAAACAGCCAATGTATCCGTGCTCATTGCCTTCGTCTCACGTGTCTACAAGAAGTTGATGTATGAGCGTCTTATACATCTTGTATTGTATAATTTTACTCAGGAATTGACTGCAAAACAATTAAAAAGTTTCAGTACGCATTTCCTCATACATCTAACAAGAATACTAAAATATCTATTACCCCTCGTGCAATCTGTTGAACGTTTCTGTAGCCACTTTTAAGGGTAGATAATAATATGAATGCATCAAGTATCGACATCAAGCAAAGGTTATACATTGATAACGATTCAATTTAAGACATCAAGCAGAAATCACCCGCCTTGCTCATGAAATTAGGCCAATAAAACTAGTATATACATTTTCTACCAGCATTATTTCAAATGACGAATAAACTTCACAAATGATTGCTGCTACAAACTTGCTGCAAGAGCCAGGGCTAAGAATTCCTGTTATATACTCATATTTAAAAGTTAGCAGGTCAGAATCACTGGTAGAACTTCACTTGTATGAAACACTTAAGGCCAAGAATTCCTGTTATATTTAGAAGGAAGTTGGTCAGACTCACAAATACAACTTCACTTAAAATTCGGGGCAGCTATTAATCTTCAAAAATTGAACTGAAATATTTGAAACCCAAATTCTAAGGGCATCACAGAGACTGTGATTTTTACAATTTGCTTATCCAAAAACGTTGATTGATTACCTCAGGTTTAAGGGGTCCTCAAAGCCATCAACAAGCCTTCCCCAACGAGAATTTCTGAAAATAGAAACAAGGAGAGTGAGAGGGGGTTCAGAATTGGAAGGATTTTTTCCCCATAAGTATTTTCACCATCTCTGTACAAGAGATTTGGAGGCCAAGGTTTACAAACCATAACCTTCACTATTTCTCTCTAGTTTCTATAATCACTATTAATTATGTTTCAATCAAAACTTCTAAAAGATATACTCATTTTGATCTGAGCATCACTAACGGTAACTCTGTAAGGAAGTAATCATTCTCAGGAACATAATTGTCATAATTTCAACCCTCGTGATTCAAAGTAAACATTCGACAAAAATAGACATGAATCACCTGTCAGCTGCCTTAACCCAATAGTAAGCTCTGCAAGCATGCCAAGAATAGGGGCCAAAATAATCATGGACAATCCATTTAACATTTGGGTTAACTGCATTAGGTTCAAGATCAGTGCCAAGTTGCCAAGCTAACTGTCCTTTGACATTTCCACAGTTTAGCCTTCAGAGACAACTTTTAACCACTAGAAATGCCTCATAGCTTAAAGCATACTCCAACCAGCTTTCTTTCCTATTGAGCATCTCTCTATCATCATCCTTCCTGACATTTCTGCTTCTTCCCACTTACCAATAGAGCTATACATATTGGCCAGCGTTATATAGTATCCATCATTTACTGGATCCGAGTCAACAGCATATTGAGCTATCCTTATTCCCATCTCAATTTGATTGTGATTATTGCAAGCACTTAATATAGCACCCCAAACACCACCATCTGGAGAGATGGGCATGGACAGAACTAGAGCTTCTGCTTCTTGCAAGTTACTGACCTCCCTAGAAGATCTACCATACAAGTGTAGTGCTTCAGATTGGGTTTCATAGAGTAACTCTGCATCCTAGCGAACAGTGCTTTCCTTCTTTAACAAGCCCTGCATGGGCACATGCTGTGGAGAAGAGCAAAGGAAGGGAACTTCATTGGGCTTAACATTTGCTTCTTCCATTCTTTGAAATGATCCACAGCAGATTCTGCATATCCTTCACTCCATAACCTGAAATCATCACATTCCAGCAAACAGCATCCTTCT